ATCAGAGAAACATTACCCTTTACAATTGCCACAAACAACATAAAATATCATGGGGTAACACTAAAAGAAAGAAATTAAGAAGATACCAGAAAATGGAAAGATATTCCATGCTCTTGGATAAATAGGATCAATGTAGTAAAAATGGAAATCTTGCCAAAAGCAATCTACAGATTCAATGCAATCCCCATCAAAGTCCAAACACAGTTCTTCACAGACCTTGAAAGAACAATACTCAACTTTATATGAAAAAAAAAAAAAACAGGATAGCCAAAATAACCCTGTACAGTAAAGGAACTTCTGGAGGCATCACCATCCCTGACTTCAAGCTCTATTATGGAGCCGTAGTCCTGAAAACAACTTGATATTGGCACAAAAATATACAGATAGATCAATGGAATCGAATTGAAAACCCTGATATTAACCCACACACCAATAAACACCTGATGTTTGACAAAGAAGCTAAAGTTATACAATGGAAAAAGAAAGCATCTTGAACAAATGGTGCTGGCATAACTGGATGCTGGCATGTAGAACACTGGAGGTACATCCATGCCTATTGCCCTGTACAAAACTTAAGTCAAAGTAGATCAGAGACATCAACATAAACCCAGCCACACTGAATCCTATTAGAAGACAAAGTGAATTCTATTAGAAGACAAAGTGGGAAATACCCTTTAATTAATTGGTACAGGAGACGGATTACTGAACATAACACCAGTAGCACAGACACTGAGATCAACAATTAATAAATGGGACCTCCTGAAACTTTGAAGCTTCTGTAAGCAAAGGACACAGTCAGCAAAACAAAACGGCAGCCCACAGACTGGGAAAAGATCTTCACCAACCCCACATCTGACAGAGGGCTGATCTCCAAAATATACAAAGAACTAAGAAGCTAGTCTCCAAAACACCAAACAACCCAATTAAAAAGTGGAGTATAGAACTAAATAGACAATACTCAATAGAAAAATCTAAAATGTCTGAAAGACACATAAGAAAGTGTTCAACATCCTTAGTCATCAGGGAAATGCAAATCAAAACAACTCTGAGATATCATCTTACTCCTGTCAGAATGGCTAAAATAAAAAACAACAGTGACAGTTCATGTTGAAGAGGATGTTGAGAAAAGGGAACACTCCTCCACTGCTAGTGGGAGTGCCAACTTGTACAGCCATTTTGGAAATTAGTATGGCGATTCCTCAAGAAAATGGGAATCAGTCTACCACAAGATCCAGCAATTTCACTCCTATGCATATACCCAAAAGAAGCACATTCATACAACAAAGACATCTGTTCAACAATGTTCATAGCAGCACTATTTGTAATAGCCAGGAACTGGAAGCAGCCTAGATGCCCCTCAACTGAAGAATGGATAGAGAAATTGTGGTATATTTACACAATATTTACTCAGCAGAAAAAAACAATGGAATCTTGAGATTTGCAGGAAAATATATGGAACTTGAAGAAACCATTCTGAATGAGGTTACCCAATCACAAAAAGACAAACATAATATGTACTCAATCATATGTGGATTACCACTGGCCTCTGCCTGCTGGATACTGGATTTACAGGTATCAGGCCATACACCCATGCACACTTTTTAGTGATCTAAGTCACTCAGAAGTTTATTTACAAATTCAGCTGCTTCTTGCAATCTTCCAAATGTTTCTGGTTCTTCCTCTAGATGTGTTTTATCCTGAAATATGCCATATATATGCACACTTGGAAGAAAGTACTCCAGGGAAATGCCCAGAAGTTTCTATATAAAATTAAATGAGCACCCACCCAGTGACTCAGCTCTTTTACCCACTAGAGATTTACCTAAAAGAAACATCAATTTATATGCAAAGAGCCTATTAGGAGTGGGATTAGGAGTGGACTTGAATGTGGGGAACTGGCCAAGAAAGGTGTGAAGGAAAAAACCCTGATTATTACATATTTGTATACAATTGTCAAAGTATATCAAATAATGTAGTTAGAATTTGTTAATTTCACTGAATGTAAGTTTTAATTTAAAAAGAAACCATAGATCTTTTCATTTATAATGCATATACAAAACATGTACAAAATTAAACACAGTGTATGTTCTTTATGAGATACATATATATATATATATATATATATATATATTGTTCTCTGAAGCATTCAGATATAAAGAGTATTAATACCTGAAGAGCAACCTAAAACAATCTGAAAATAAGATAAATTAATAAATAAGAACATATTTTAAAACAAATATAAGAAAACATTAGCAACAGTAAAATTTTAGTCTACATAAAATTCCTTCAACTTTTTTTCTGTGCTAAAAAATTATAAAAATGAAATATTTAGAGGAAGGTCTTTTCTTTCTATGTGGTATTGTTCATTTTTATGTTTTGATTACAGTTTTTCATCAAGATCAAACTGACCCTAACTTCTATTCAGATCTTAGTTATGTGAGCCAGTTCAGCCCTTCACATCTCATCTCCACACTAAGGCCAACATAATCCTTCACATCCCTACTGTAATAGCCAAATAAATCTTAGCTTCCATTTTCAATGAGAAGATAGCCAAGGATTCCTAACAGTGCTGGTGCCTCACCTCGTACCCAAAAATGGCCCTCAAGCCCAAAGACTTGGTTACCAAGGTTACAAGGGTCTCTTGATTTATGTTAACATTCACTTAGCCTTACAGATTTATCTAACTCTTCTGTAAATTATGAAATTTTTAGTATATGATTACCAGAGTTTATTATATTTTTAATACCTCATATTGCCATAACTTGAAGCTACACTTTGTTGTGGACATGTTGGTCATCATGTACTTGTGGCCTCAGACTGTGTCTGACTCCTTGGGGCAGCTTACAAAATTCATGCTATACAGTATATGATCAATAAATGCTCATTGAGTTCATGATTTTGATTTCAAATTGAACTATTTAAAAAGTATAAACTAGAAATCATAAATAATACTATTATTTGAGATTTAGTTATCATGACAAATTGTGAGTTACATCATAGTCTAATTTACAAACCAAAATAATTTAGGCTTAATGAAGTTGAGTAAATTTCCCAAGGTCAGACATCTGGCAAACAGTAGATTTGAGCCTCAAACAGATTGTTCTTTGATTCTGGAGTCCACATTACCATATAAATTATTAAAATGAACTAAAAAATGGAGGGAATGAATAAATGAATAATTAAGATATAAATCAAAGCTAATGCTTTAGTAACAACTTCCATAGAATTATATTTTTCTTCTGTATATTTAGCTGAGAGAAAATGTTTCCAGCAAATTTCAGAAGTTCATAGTGTTAATGCCACACAATCAAGGAGAAAGACCACTAACCCAAATCATGGCAAATTAATTAAGGCATGCAATTAATTAAAGCTAGCTTTTTAAATTCGTATACATAGGCTGTCTCTCCCTAAAGGTGGGGTTCAAAAAATCAGCATTGGATATGGTTAAAATAAGAATTTTTATGGTTCCAGA